CTGTGAGTTCGAGGCCAGCCTGGTCTACAGAGTGAGATCCAGGACAGGCACCAAAACTACACAGAGAAACCCTGTCTTGAAAAACAAAAACAAAACAAAGAATAAGACTTTCTATAGTTATTCTGGCCTGCTGTCCCATACAGTCCTGGGCTCTGGGGTTTTTTGATCATTTGGGAATGAGGGCCTGTGGAGGAACTAGTGAGTGTGGGAGTCAGGGTCTACAGGCTTGGCGCTCATGCCTGACTGCAGCCTGGCCACGGGGACTAGCCTCAGGAAACTGTGTCATCGTCTTGCACCAGGGCCTGCCGCCTGGGTCCCAGCTGACATTCCAGGTGGGTGATGCTCCGTTATCTTGTCCCTTCCCTGCCTTAGTGCTCAGCATCCACAAGCTTCCAGCCAGCGGGGCCACCGACATCAGCTTCCCCATGAAGGGCTGGCGTGCCACAGGAGACTGGGCCAAGGTGCCAGAGGACAGGGTCACTGTGTCCAAGAGTGTGTTTTCCACAGGCTTGGCAGGTGAGGCTTGGGAATGGGGTGGGCCTGCTAAGAACCAGGGTCCCAGAGTCTGAGGATTGTCATCCTGGGGTATTTCTTGTAGGGTTTTGTGCATGGTCTCCAGTTTTAGGGAACATCCCTGGTACACCTTGTTATTCCTGAGACCGTCTCCTTGCAGGAGTCTCTTCCTTTCCTCCATGGGAGTGTGCCTGGGGACTACCCTAAGCCAGAAGTATAGGCAGAGTGGGAGGGGCCGGGTGGATCACACAGCGACAAGGACATGGGTTCCCAGGGAGAGAAATGTGTCTTGCTTCCCCCTATCTCTTGTGGGGTCACTTGAGGAAATAAACTAGTCCTCTCTCCCCATGTTGACCCAGAGTGGTGCCCCAGATCCCAGCTGCACCTCAGCATCTGTGGGGGGTGAAGCACAGGCCTTTTCTTGTCAGGACCTTGGATGGGACCCAATAGATGGGACAGTGGAGGTCCCTGGGGTGAGGTCCAGGCTAGTGGGCAGTAGCCGGGCTGGGGTAACCGATGCTTCCTTCCAGAGGCTGATGACTCGTCCGTGTTCGTGGTTGGTACTGTGCTCTACCGAAACTTGGGCAGCTTCCTGGCCCTGCAGAGGTGAGTGTCACGGAAAGGGGATAGCCTGGGCTCCTGTGGGAGGTCAGGAAGATGCTGGTGGCCTGGGCGTGGTGGGGCTGGGGTTGGGGCTGGTCTACCAGGCTGGCTCGGCGCCGTTCCACACCTCTGACAGCCTTTGATGCTTTGGATACCCTCAGGAACACAACGGTCCTCAACTCCAAGGTCATCTCCGTGACGGTGAAGCCCCCGCCTCGGTCCCTGCTCACACCCTTGGAGATTGAGTTTGCCCACATGTACAATGTGAGTGCTGCCCATGTGCGTGGGTGCAGGGGCACACTTTCGCCAGCTCTGGGTGCTCCCCTGCGCGTTCCTCTCGGGCACTACTCTTGAGGGCCACAACTGGAATGGCTCTCATCTAAATTCCAAGCGAGGAAACTGAGTTTTAGAGCTAGGGACTCACCCAGGGCCACACAGTGGATTGATTCATGCGGATACTGAAATTCAGCCCATTTCCAACCTGCCCCCTGACTCAATCCCTAGCTTCTCTCCCTCCACTCCAGATCCTGATCCCTGGAGGGGATCCGCTTGCTGCCCCTGTGCCCATGGCCCAGCATTCTAGGGAGCTGTGTGACAGGCCATCTACCCCAAAGCAGGTCTCCAAAACTCCCTCCCCAGGCCACATTGCTGGGAACATGTGAGAGCTACCTTCTGCCAGAGTCAGGGCTGACTCTACCAGGCCAAGTCATGCAGGACCTCTGGGAAGACAGTGCCAAGAGCATCCTCCCAAAACTCCCTAGGACTCCAGGCCACAACTGCTGTGTGACCATGCCAGGTCCCCAGTTCCAAAAATGCTTGGATACCTTGATTGGCATGAGGAAGCTGGGCAGGGGGACGGGGGTTGTCTGTCCTCTCATAGGACTTTTCAGAGACTAGAGCTGAGGCCCCTACAGCTTGCTGTCTCTGCTTCTGAGTAGATTGAGTAAGAACCCCAAGGGGGCAAGACAGCTGCATCACTCGGCCAGGACATGGCAGTGCCACACCCCAGTCCCCAGGCCAGGGGTATAGGAAACCTTAGGAAGAACCCAAACCTGTCCTTTTCTCCTGTGTGGCCTTGGGGGAGTTGCTTACCTTCTCTATGCCTTGGCTCCCTTCCCTTATCAAACAAGAACAAGTAATGCTCATGAATGCCCAGGGCATGTAGCTATTGTGAGCATAGACAAACCCACGGCGGCTGCTCCCACCTTCCCAGTGCTGATCCCCGCCAGTAGCCGTCTCAGGGATGGCGCCCTGCAATGTTCTCAAGGTCCTGCTTTCAGGACCACGGACAGCAACGGAGCAGCTTTTCCCCCTAGGAGCATCTAACTCCCCCCCCCTTCAGACATGGCTTTGTCCTTTAGCCCAGCCCCGTCATGGGGGCTGGACCAGAGAAGGGACAGGAACTGTCTAAAGTCATGTGTTGGGCATTGGTGGGCGGAGGGAGGGGGTCAAGCCAGGCCTAACTAACCTGGAACTGCTCTGAACGTCAGTTTTTACCTCACACAATGCAGACTCTTGAGGGAAGGCATCAGCGGCATATATAGTGTCCCCATGAGTGGATTTAGTGTGACCCAGGCTGTGACTAGAGGTGGCAATGGCCCTGACTCCTCCTTCTTTCTTAGGGCACCACCAACCAGACTTGTATCCTGTGGGATGAGACAGATGGGTAAGTTCTTTTGGGCTTGGTAGCCCCAGGGCCGTGGGGTGGTGGGGGAAGCTTGAAGTGTGGTCGGGTAGTGGAGGGCTGGTTTTAGGTAGTGGATCTTCCGCTCCCTGGTTCCCGGTCCACTGGTGCCCCTGCACAGCCCTCCCCTTCTTCCTGCCCAGGTCTGGCTTCAGAGTCATTGGCCTGCCCTCCTTATTCTTCTAGGGAAGTCCATGGCGCAGGGAAGGAGGGCCAGAGAGGTGTGTCCTCGCTAGATGCTGAAGTGGGGAATTCAAGCCATCCTGTCCCAATGTTGGGTTTGGGGCAGGTAACAAGCACTGAGAATTGGGAATGTGGCTTTGTGGACTTAGACAGCTGCGGGGTGGAGGACCCTGAGACCCCAAATAATCAACTGGGGCAAGGGCCCCAGGTGTCTCTAGCAGCATCATATGACCCTGGACCCTGAATTCAGACTTTTTTTTTTTCAAGCACATGGTGGGCACCAGCCTGCTCCAGGGCACTCTGACACAGAGTGGAGCCTCCTGGTTGGAATAAGGTCCTAGGTGAAATGATGGGGAAATGAGGAGGGGCCTCCTGAGGGACACGGAAGTGTGTGGCAGGCTGGAATAGTGTTCGTGGAAGCCAGGAAGGCCATTATGCTTGGGGTGAGGCCTTACAAACTGGAGGCCTGGTGGTGGGCTGTGTATAGGATGGTCTGGTTGGAAGTTAAGTACAGAGACTTTGTTCCCTTCCCCTGGCCAGGTGGCTTGGGAACTCAGGTGGTCCCAGACACTGACGGTATGTGTAGCAAGCTCTGATGATGTGGGCCGGGTAGCGATGCGCATGTCCTAGGCAGCAGGGAAGGTCTCCCGAGTGACTGGTCTGGGAGAGGAAGAAGGTTCCAAGAGAGGTGCAGTCAAGGCACCAGCAGGAAGGCTTGGAGGGCTCAGGGAGGCTCGGGAAGCATGGTCCGGAGACATCATGAAGGGGTGCAAAGAGTGAGCTGTTCTGTGGGGTTATCTACCATCCATCTTCTGGTGACTGTGACCACTGATGACTGGCCTATGAGGTTCCAACCCTCATTTCCTCCATCCCAGGGAAGAGGGACAGTGCGTTGTCAAAGCATTAGTCTAAAACAAAGTCAGGTCCTGTCCTACACCAACAAGGCTTCAGAAGGCTTTGCAGTAGGTTGTGTGGTACTCTTCTGAGCAGGGGCAGAGTGGTCTGTGTGTGTGTGTGTGTGTGTGTGTGTGTGTGTGTGTGTGTGTGTGTGTGTGTGTGTGCTGTGTGTGTGTGTGGGGGGGCTGATTTCTGCACAGAGTTCCTGAAGACTCTTGTGGGGTGGGTGTCTGAGGACCAGTATTTCAGCAGAAGGAACAGCCATTGCTAAGGCAAAGTAATGTTGAGTGCAGAGCCAGGCCGTCCTGCCTCACCTGCAGGACACGGGCCTGCGTGCTGCGGGTCCGACACCAGGCTGAGATGCTTGCAGCCCGGAAGGCCAGCCTTCGGGTGTGTTGCTGTCTATGGATCTCTTCAGGCGTTGTGAGGGCCATGTGCTCTTTGCATAGGAGATCAGAAGAGGGTGTAAAAGGAAAAGGGAGAACAGTTCTGAGTTCACGGTTCACAGCTCCCCTCCCCCCGTCCCCCACCCTGCCCCAGGACTGCCATGGGCATGCTAGGACTTTGCGCTTAGGCGATGGAAGTGACTTCCCTTGGAGGGCTCAATGGTGGCAGCTTGTGGAGGGGTGGCCAACCTCTTTATCCTCTTAGTTCACACTGGCACCCTGCAGAGCCCTCCCTCTTCCTAGTAAAGACCAGCCTCCTGGTGGGGGCAGCCCCATCCATGTTCCCGACTTCCCAGCTCAGTCAAGGACACTGTCCCCTGCCAGGCCACAGCCCATCAGACATCCCTTAAGTTGAGACTCCTAACCTTGGAGCCGGCAGCTGCCTGACCCTGGGTGGGATCTGGGCTGCTAAGGTACCATGGTGAGCCCTCGGGTGTTGCAAGTTAGTGTGGCCTCCACCTGCCCTGCTCTCACAGCTGTGGGCGGTGACCTTGACCTCAGTCACCTTAGGCACGCTCTACGCCAGCCCTTGAGAACTGGACTGTGGAAGGTCAGGCCCCAGGACAGCAGAATGATACCTATTCAGCTGAGTGGCCTGTGCCTAAGTGGAGGTACAAGTCTATCCTGGGATCACACACTGCCCACCCCCCAACTGACTGGTTACCAGGCCTCCAGAGGCTATAGCTAGCCAAACCCAGTGGTGGTTGAGGACACTGCTCAGAACAAGTAGCTAGAACCCTTAAACGGAGGCTGGAGGGTGACTGGATGGTAGACAGGCTGGTTTTTGTCACTTGCCCATGCCCTGGTCACTCCTCTGCTCTCCATTCAGTGGCTCTTCATGCCACAACTGGTGGCCATGGCTTTTGCTGTGACTTGCGAATGTGAGTGCTTTCCCATTGGCCTAAAGCATGAAGGGTGGCAGAGCAAAGGCCCACCTCCACCACTGCCTAACCACCGGTGTCCCTGACCTGCCTGGTGTGGCCCATGTTTGCTTGTGCTTGGCTGAGAACAGGCCTAAGGGACCAAGGAATGGCCTGGCCACTAGGGGGAGAGGAGAGCCTTCTGTGACTGTCACCCGATAAAGGGTAACCTTTTTTGTACTTTCATTGTGACCCATAACCAAACCATCGTAATCTAGGGTAGAGCCCAGATCCCTAACCAGAAGTGGGCTGAGACCAGACACTGGCCGTACCTGGAGTCCTGACTCTAAACTGGGACGTTGAGTCCTAATTCTGATCAAATGCTCCTCATGGTCACAGGTTAAGCTTGCTCCGACCCTGGTCACACACTGAACCCCGATTCTGCTCTGTCACTAAATGTTGACTCTCATTGCAAATGGAGCCCTGGCCCTGGTCACACGTTCAGCCCTAATTCTGCACATAAACTGAGCCTTGATCCTGGTCATACATTGATCATTTATCTGGCTCTCACAGTGAATACTGACCTTCATCATACACTAAATCCTGATCTTGACCTCGCCCTGGGTACACTCTGAGCCCTGATCCTTATCATACACTGAGCTCTGGCCGTAGTCACAACCTGGATGCTGACCCTCCTCACACACTGAACCCTGATCTTGGTCCTAGGCTGAGCCCTGCTCCCTGTCTCTGTTGGACCACTGAGTTGGCTCACACTCATTCCATGTAGGCCACGTGCTCAGAGGATCACCCTCTCTTCCAGTCATGTGGGACAGTTGATAGCGTGACGCATTCACTTAGAGAACAAGCCAGAGGCTTCCTTCTACAGTGTAGCCTCTCTTCCTGCCTTTCCTCCAGGAACCCCACAGACCTGCACAGACTCTGGCGGTGTCCACATTGGAGATGTCTGTCTGGGCTCCTTAAACATTTGTTCAGAGCCTCTGATGTGACCCTAGTCCTTCAATGCAATGTCTGTCACCCATGTCCCTGGATCTGGGTCTTGAACTCTAAGTTGGCAACAGGATTCAAGAGCTCAGTCTCTTTACGCCCCTATAGAAGCGTAGCCAATGGTTGTGAGAGCCTAGGGTAGGAAGTGGGGAGGAAGGGAGCAGCCCTTGCTACAATAGACTGCCCATGCTGCATCCCCACAGAGCCCTAGTTTTGTGTGTCTCCCCTGAGGAGGACAGTGACAGTCATATGTGTATTCCCGGAGTCTTCTGCCACCTGTTAGGATGAGGAATTATTTGTGAGTGGGAACAGGCAGCGGGAGGCGGGACTAGATGGTTGAGTAAGTAGGTCATGATCGGCAGTGCTGGGCAGAAGTGAGGAAGGTAAGCAGTTCAGAAGTAGGATGGAGTGGGGTATGGACTGCAGGGTACAGCGTGAATGACTGAATGGAGAATGAGATCCAGAGGACAAACAGGTGCCTGAGGAAGGGGCCAATGTCATAGGAAGTGGGTAAAGAGAGCACAAGGGCCCGCTTCATCTGGCTACTCTAGCAAGTGGGCAGGTCGCCACGATGATGGGAGGGTCGTAAGCAACTGAGCTCTGTCTCCCCCAGGGCAGGACGGCCAGAGCTCTGACCTCAGGCATTGTTAGGGCTATCCCTCTCCACAAGCGTTCCTTCCCAACTAGATCCTTTCCTGGGTGGACGGCCAAGCCCCACTAGGTCCACTCATGTCCCTCAAAGAGCTTCCTGCTGCACTGTCCTTTGTGAGCCAGGTTCACAGCCAAAGAGCCTAACCCAAGGCTCGAAGGTTCCTAATGAACCCAGGACTAACTTCAGGAACCAAAAGCATATCTTTTCAAGAGTCTGACCCCTCTTTTTGCTTGTTTGGTTGCTTTTTTGAGACAGGGTTTCTCTGTGTAGCCCCGGCTCGCCTACAGTTGCTTCCCTTATAACATGGCTAAGCAGGGGCTTCCGAGTGGGTGGAGGGTTTGAGTTGGAGCAGAACATAGGGGTTTTGCCACCCCCCTTTGCCACTCCAGGGAGCCATTTACTCTGCAGGTCCCCACCTTGCCCAGGATTCTGGGCTCTTGTTTGCAGCGTCCCCCATCCACTCCCCAGGCTGAACCAGTGGGGCATGTGGGCCCGTAAGTGACACTACAAGTGACCCCTGGCCTGTACCCATACAGAGGTCTTTGTCTGACCCCCTGGTTACATGGGCAAGCTTCCATCATGTTGAGCCTTGGTTTCTACCTCTGTGAAATGGGCTGTGGTCGTGGTTGACAATGTGCTGAATGTCAGGATGTCATCCCAGAGGAAAACAGTAAGCCATGTAGATGCATGCCACCTCATAGCACTCCATGAGGACTGTAGCGCACCTCGGCAGGAGGGTGTGGGAACCCAAGGCCACAGCACAGGGTGTGCAGAGACCCAGCAGAGTGCAACTGGAGTTGCAGTGAATGGTCCAAGGAGAGGGAGCTAGGGAGCAGGACAGAAAACATACTTGGCAGGGGAAGTGGCTGCCCAGGCCTGGGGGTTCCCTTTCTGTAGCCCCCATACCTCTTTTTAGATGTGGAGACTAGGCTCTCTGGCCTCAGAAATGACCTAGCAGAGGTAGAATTGGTGTGGGTCCTGTTCTCAGATTGCAGGGCATGTGGAAAGGCAGACACAGGGGAAGGACTTTCCCGTTAGCTGGAAGGCTCTAGTGATGTGGGAACCTGCTCCTGGCCCTTGCCTGGAGGTGGTGGGATGATGGCGTGACCAGGTCTGCTGGATCAGGTGAGCAGTGAGGCGCAGGAAGGAAGGTCGTAGGGGGGAAGACAAAAGGGCAGGTTCGCTGGCTGTCTGCTCTTACCTGACAGGCCAGGGAGCACATTGAGGCTCCCGAGAGAGGGTCCACCAGTGTGACAAGCTGAAGAAGACAGCTGAATTCTGGGGACAGTGTCCATCCTGGAGACAGGCCAGATGTTACTGGCAGGACAATAGCATGCCCATGGCAAGCAGGTGGTCACTAGTCCCTATGAAGGAAGACACATTGGGCAAGGTGGTGCTGCCCTGCTCTGGAGCTTTGGCTGGTGCCGACGGTCTTAGCATCAGTGATACACACGGCTGACTGCATTAGTAGACATGGTGATGATGTCAGTGCTGGTGTAGCTGATGCTGGCACCGGCCTGGGGATGCGGTGGTGAGGGAGGAGGATTGTGTAATGTCTATGGTGATGAGGACTGAAGAGCGTTGCCGGAGTCATTGCACTGAGCGGGAACGGTGGAGAATGGGGTGGGTGGTGAGAGAGGAGCTGATGACAGGGTGATGATGGTGGTGGCGGCTCTGTGGTCTGTGATGCTGCCGCTGGTGAAACTGAGGCTGCTGGTGGTGCTGAGTGTTGCACCACCATTCACGATAGTGTTGCTGTGGGTGGGAGTGATGGTGGCATGGGGTGTGTGTGTTGCCAACATAATGAGAGGTCATGGTGCTTCTGTTGGTGATGGTGGGGTGATGATGATGTGAGTTGAGGGCGATGATGGCCGTGGTGATGGTATTGCCAATGTCAGAGACATGGTGGTAGGTCGTAGAAGTGGTTTCAGCAATGTGGGGCTGCCCAGGGAGGTGACGGTTGCTACATGATGGTGGCCTCGGAGGGGGCGTCAGCAGCGTGGTGGTGGCCATGGAAGTAGTATTATTATTGGTGATGCAGGAGTGGCTGTGGCTGTGGTGTCATGATGTGACCGTGGTTATGAAGGTGCGGTGGTGGTGGTGGTGGTGGTGGTGGTGATGAGGTGGTGGGTATGGAGGTGGTATCAGAGACATGGTGACCATGGAGCGGATGTCAGTGGTGCAGTGGTGGTTGTGGTGGCCATGATGATGATGTTGATGATGATGATGTTGATGATGATGATGTTAATGATGATGATGTTGATGATGATATGGCACCTATGGAGGTAGCAGGGATGGTGGCAGTGGCCATGGAAGTGGTAGTGGTGACATGGCAGTGGTAATATTATGGTAGCTGTGAAGATGATTTTGGTAATGTGTAAGTGGTGGTAGAGGTAGTAGAAGTATGCCGGGGTAGGGATGGTGGCTAGTGGTACTTACTGACTGCAGGTGCTATTGGCCTTGGCTTGTTGTCTTGGTGCTGGTTCTGAGGGTGAAGGTTGTGGGCATAGGTCTTATGAGAGAAGGCTGGCTCTGGAAAGATTTACAGACTCCCTGTGGGTATCATCTCCCTCCCCCTATGGACAGGTCATGAGTCAGGCCACAGTAACCATATGACAGGTATGATAGGGCAGGTAGGAGAGGAAGGCTTAGCATGGAAGTCTGGGAAGATGTCTTGGAGATGAGGCTAGGCTGGCTAGGGTGGACATGAGGTATACCTCATCTTGAGCTAGGGGGAATACCAGGAGTACCCAGTGCTCAGCAAGGGTCTAGCTCAGCAGGCATCGGATGCTAGAGCATGAGTGCTGTGGAGTCTTGGCAGTGGCCTGTTGACTGGTTGTTGTTGGTGGTGGTGGGGTGACAGGCCAGATGGATGTGTCTGGAGGAGCCTATTAGGCAGGAGCCTAGGAGATGGGCAGGGGTTTAGGGCAGGTATCAAACACCTTCCTGAGCCAGGCATAGTCAGCTGGACCCTGTTCCCCAAGCCAGGTCATTTTTGCCAGGCCAAGGAGCCAGCATCCACTGTCCTCATGTTCCCCACTCTGTCCCACAAACAACCATGACCTATGTGCCCTGCCTGGGTAACCCGAGAGGAGCCCCAAGGCACAGAGGGGGACAGTCTGAGACCAGAAGCCCCAGTACAGAGTGTCTGGCGCCAGATGGGAGAGAAGAGGAGATCGGTGTCTGGGAGGTGGGAACAGGAGACGGCTCAAAGGCCCCGCAAGACCTGGGGTGCAAAGAGGGGCTCAGGTGGCGCCAGCTTCATAGTTCGGGGCGCCAGACCACAGGTGTTTGGATCTCAGAAACCTAGAGTCTCAGAAATAAGCCAGGAGGGGTGCCAGCCTAGCAGGGTGGAGTGGCCCAG